CTACTACTACTATTCCTACTACTACTATTCCTACTACTACTATTCCTACTACTACTTCTACTACCACTGTGACCCCATCCGTCGTATCTTTCAAGACGAAAGTTGCGGAGCAAATCGACAGCAACATTTTCGGAGAGTCGGAATCACGAACTTTTAAAGAAATTGACACGAGGGCGATCGGTCAACGTGACGCGAAATACTCGAAGAGCTTGCGGAACGACAAAAGCCAGGACGCCAGTAAGAATAAAGAGATAGAGCAATCGTTCGATCACCAAATTGTAAAGGATCACGCGAAGAGTTCCGAACTACGTGCCGATAAAACGAAGGAAGAAAAACAAGAAAAACAGGAAACAGAATCGATATATACGCAGACGACTGACAAGGAAGATACGATCTTCACCAAGATTCCACGAAGCGCAGAAGAAGCGAGATCAACGGAAGTTACGCTCGTCTCTGAAGAAAAGAAGTCTTCCAATGAACGATTCTCTTCTAAGGAGGACGAAATTCCGGACGATGAAATTAACACGAGTACGAATGAAGGAGAAAGTTCGCAAGACGTCCCTAGCACAATTTCTTCCGGCGAAGTTGCGACTTCTCGTGAAGGCAACTTGGAGCAAGAAGAATCGTCTTACCGCGAAGACGCGAGTGAGGGATCAAGTACTGACGTTTCGGACGAGGAACAGAATTCAACCGCGAGGTACAGCGAGGAGAATTCCGAAGAATCAAACGAATATCAGGAGATAACGGAATCATCCGTGGAAAGTACACGTAGCATTCAAGAGGAGCCGGAAAGTACCGAGGGTTCCACCACGCTCGTGGATTACACGAATTCCGAGGAGTACACCGACTCTCAGGAGGACGTCGCGGGATCGACAGAGGTGACCGAGGGCAGTACCGAGGGTGTTCTAAAATTCACGGACGAACTACCTATATCGGACGATAAAGAGAACGTGGACGTGACAGAAGAAATATCATCGTCTGACGAAAGCGGCATGCACGATTACGTCGACGATAATTACGAGCCGGAGAATTACAGGGGGACAGAAACCACGACGAAATTGATTGAATCCGAGGAGGACAAGAACGAGGAAGAGAAGAATGACGGGGAGAAGAAAGATGCATCAGCGAAAGATTCCGATCGTGAGAATATAGAGACGCAGCGGATGGATGATAGCGTCGAGGCGGAAACGCAGACGGAATACACGGCGAGTGTCACAGAGGTCGAAGATCTCCTTCCTATCACGAGTTTAACCACGACTTCATCGACCACAACGGCGTCAACCACGATAGCGTCAACCACAACAGCATCGATCACAACAGCGCCGACCACTACAGCGTCGTCCACGACGGCGTCGACTACGACGGCGTCGACTACAACGGCGTCGACCACAACGACAGCTTCGAGTACGACAACTAAGACCACCACTCGTCGGCCTATAACTACCACTCCTCGTGCCACGCCACCGAAACTCTTTAAGCCTACCGGGAACAAAAGAATTTATGCTTACAGCCCTCCTACGACGACCCCGGTTCCGGTCGTGATCAAACCGAGACTGGGTCTGTACAATCCGAAGCCGGTGAAACCGCCTAAATCTTATAACGAATTGGCGCCGAAGCCGATGATCAGAAAGCTCGTTTTATCACGGAAACCTCCTACCACCACCGCAGCTACTACTACTACTATTGATACTACTACTACAAAAAAATTGAACACGGAGAATCCAGAAATGACGACGGAGTTTGTGACGATGACAACGGTAACGGCGCCAACGATGACGACGACGGCAGCAGTGACGACAATGACAGCAATAACGGAAGCAACAACGACGACTACGGCAGCAACGATGACGACGGCAGCAACGACGACGACGGCAGCAACGACAACGACGGCAGCAACGACGACGACAGCAGCGACTACGGCAGCAACGACGACAGTGGCAGCGACGACGACGATGACAACGGAGTCCGGTAGAAGCGAGGAGAACGGCCTCGAGAACAAGCTAGAAGCGAATGAACATACATCCTTTGATCCTTCCACGAAGAACGATCAGATGAACAAGGAAGATCAACTTCCAAGCCCGTCCGAGCAGAATAGTCCAGTCAACTCTTCGGACGTCGATCCGGGAATCTCGACCACGGAGATCAAGGCTTTCACTCCTTATCCTCTATCTGGATTATCCACTCTTGCGTCTTCCACCGAGCAGACAACGAAAGAGATAGATGTTAAGGCGCAGGAAACGACGGAGAGCATGGATATTCTCACGACGACTGATCTACCGACGACGTTGTTATCCGAAAAGTCTGAGTACGCTGAGATCACACCGAGTACCAAGTACCTCGAAATAGCGGAGACCACCACGACAGCTTCCACTGTCAAAGTTTCTCAGCAGAAGACTTCTCCGGTTTCTTCGGTTCCTCCGATTCCTGATCGCGCGACGTCGGTCTCAATCTTAACGACCGTCTTGCCGAAAGCGGAGGACGCCGATCCCGTCGCGTCGATGGAAGAAGCGGCGATCTTCAGGTCGACCGGCTTCCCGCGTCGAAAGCTCGTGAGCCCCCGGAAGCATCCGAGCTTCAATTGCCTGGAGAGGGAGATGTATCGTTTCTACGGCGATTCCAGGGACTGTCGATTGTTCCACTATTGCTCGCCCGGCTTCACCTCGCGGCAGGTGCTGGACTTCCGGTTCGTGTGCGAGGAGGGCACGGCGTTCGACGAGGTGACGCAGAGCTGCCGTCACGATGTGCGTAACCGGAAGTGCCGGGTTCGCCAGTGAGGGCGTCCGCGAGGGAGGACGCTCTTCACCTCCGTTTCGTTTTCTCCGAATCGCGCATTTCCTCGATTCCATTGATTTTGGTAATTCGTGAATCCTCCAGGACTCCTAGCGTATTTATATTTTCTTCCTTTCTTTTTTTTTTTAACACACAGTACGTAAGAATACCCCGAAGAAGAGGGCTCTCTCCTTCTCCTAAGCCCATTGCCATAGCGCCTCGCGCTGGATTCACACTTATTAAAGTTAATACTGATCGACTCGCGATCGTCGATTGGATCAGAGAGGGAAGCGAGGAGACAGCATCGTCGGCGTGGTCTTCGTTCACCTGAAAAAAAGTCGCACTTGTCGTTAGCGTTAAGTAAGAGAGCGAAGAAGTCGGTTCCTACGTTGTTCTCGAAACGTGTTGACGCGAGAGACATTAAGCGGAGATATAGTCGCGCGGACTGAGAAGCGATCTGTATCGCGATCACTCATCGCGTAAAATGATTCAGAAACGCGAAGCGTGAAAATTTCTGAACATTGCCGAATATTGCCGAAGAAACTACGCTCTACGGCTTTATCCGTGCCCTTGGCATCTTGCTCGTACGCAGCGCGATAACGAATTAGCAGCCGCCTTTTGGCCGAATAAATAATAATTTTATCGAGATAAAGTCGAATATATTTTTGATAAAGTACGACTGTGCGCTGTACTCATGTCTCAGTGTAGTGTAATTATATTTAAAAATATTTCTAATACACAAATCTTCCTAGAATTTCGAATAAAATACTTTTGACGAATAAAACACACATTTTTCGAAACTATATTTTTTACAGATTTAAATAATTTTAATTGTGTACATACTGAAATATATTGAACTGAATACCGCAAGCATAGACGATCACATCGTTTATGGCGCTTGTCGAATTAATTCGTCACGATATCAAAAGTGCAATCAGATAAAACATCATTGCTCAAAGGATCTAGGTACGAAGATAGCTTTATAAAACGTTAGATATTTCGAAGTAATGAACGTGCAAGACGTGTAATCGACTTAACGTATGACATGTGAGAAAGTTGAAGAAAGAGAGATTGCGGCTTACAGTTTGCATAATTCGTTTCGTATATTCAATTACATGCATTCTCTGCTGTCAGACGCGACGACGGCACACCTGTAACGTAATGCCGGTCAAATGGATTTGCGTGTGTTACCTCTCGTAAATGCTCTTAATTTCCTACCACTAATTAGCGCGCTTCAATTACGAGCGGAAACGAGCGCATCTTTAAAGTCAGCCGTAGATAAAGTGTAGATATATATTTTTGCGAACTCATTCCGAAACATCTCTAGCGATTTAGTTTAGGTAGATTCTAGGAAATTCGTACGTGCCGCTAAATGAGCGTTAATGATTACCGCGTGTGTAATATATGTTGCGCGTATACGTTTCAACAGCGTATACATTACACACGTACGTCGAAATTTGTATCTATTATATATTTTTTAAGCAAATGTACCATGTCAATAATAATTGTATATTCTATACGCACACGTGACATTTATTCCGTCTTTTAAAAATCCCTCGAATTATATCTTTTCGCGATTTAAGATTAACGTAACTATTATATAATTACTTTTATGTAATGTGATTTTTCTTTATCGAATACTTTATCCAAAACACCATTTTATTTAATTAATTAACCCTCCGTAGTCACACTGAGTCAATTTGACCCGAGCCTCAACTTTGCTCGTAAATATCTTGCGCGTAACTTGAAAATTGGCGGGCATGACGCCCTCTAGCTGTAGTTAAAAAAAAATTTTTTTTTAAACAAATTTTTCGCAAATCTTTTTTATATGTTAAAAATTTTTTAGGCACTTCTTTTTTTATAGCAATCAATTTAGCAATATCGCAAGTGCATTTGAGAATTTTTTCAACACGATCGGTGGATAAATGGTCAAATGGCGAACGATCAAAGTTCGTCTCGGGTCAAAATGACCCAGAGTGACTTCCTTGTTTGAAAAAATAGGTGTGACTACGGAGGGTTAAAGTAAATTTTTCAGGTAATTTTCAGGTAATGTTTCTTTCCCAACATTTCTCTTTTTCTAAGAGAAGAAATACCAACCTGGCGACACACTATCTTCAGTTGCTAAATAAGTAAGTCTTGAAGCAGTGCCGTTTGATGAAGTTGAGCAGTAATATTAAAGCGTAGATTTACCTGCAGTCGTTAAATGTTTAAAGTTAAAGTTCTGTTACGTTAAATGTGATAAATAAATTGTTCTGAAGAAAGCTAAGTAAGGCTCGAAACGTAAACACTACTGTATACCGTTATTGAAGTATTAAATATATTTTTAACATCTGTCAATTGCTCGAATTTTGGCCGTTTTAAACTACTTAGCTGTTGCTTTGTCGAGCAAAATTTCATTGTTATTTGTTCGTATCTCTTATAATAATTATAATAAATTATAATGAAATATATAACTATATAATTACAATAAAAAATTGAGCGCGTAATATTTGAGCCGTAGAAATTTCTGATTCATCGAATCTAATGCATTGTTACATCTTGCAACACGCGGAATTATCGCGCAGTGACATGCGAAATATCTGGGGAACAGCCGTCAGTATTTTGACGTGATGTAATCAAACGTTGGCCGCGCGCGTCACACGAGGTAAAAGCCTACTGGACGTCCACCTTCCACATTCGACGCAACTTGTTCTCGTCGGTATGAGGAAAATGTCAAGGCTTCATTCGCGGAGCCTGGAGCGAGATGCTCCTCTCCTCAGGTATGCAAACATTCGTGTTTTTCGTCTTTTTTAGTGGTTCCACGTGGGAACAAAAGAGAAATCAAGAGAACGTTCAGAAAAAAATGTTATTATATCTCTTCAAGAAAAATAGAACTTTATCAGGATTTTCTTTCAGAAACAAAAGATAAAGAAAAGTGAAATATGTATTAAAAATATATTTTTGATTAATAATAACAGACGAATCCTCAATTAAATTACGGATATTAGAGAATTCAATTTTGTTAAAATTAAGTATCTTGATTCATATTTCTTTTACGTAAAAAGGTGCTCGAGATCGCAACAAAAGTGCCATATTCGGTACGAATTATGTATTCATGTTGTAGCCTCATTGAATTATAATAGCACCCTGACAACAATTCTTTATGTAAATTATATTTACGCACCAATCTTCGCAATTATTGCTGCGTATGAATTATGCAGAAAAGTACGGTATGCGCATAAACGAGCGTCTGAATGCGTCGCGCGTTACCGCGTTGCTCTTTATTGGATATAAGATCGACTCGACTTCTTGGCGAATCTCGTTTCGACGAGATGAACAAGGCTAGATGACATTTACCTTTCTTTATTCTGACATTCGAATCCAAGCAGGATCGATCCTTCTGCTTTCCAGGATATTGTAAACAGATACAGTGGTATGATGATGATGTTAAAGTTATTACTATAAACAGAAAAATGACAGTATTTAGGACCACGTAAAACAATTTTGGCATATCTACGTCGATCTTTCCCCCAAAATAAATTCTAATTGTATGTCCAAAAGTAATATTATTGACCATAATCAGAATTTAATGTCAAATAAAATCACGAGTATGGTGAAATTAATTTTAAACAGATTTATGCAGATCAGGCACTAACGGGTCGCATCGATCGTTTTCTAACTCCGTGTTGCATGCCAAGTTGAGATAGAACGCAGGATGAACGAATCGCTCGTGACACGGAGCCGACGTGTCGGCTTTTCGGTTACGGACGTTAAAATCCTTTTACTTTGAGAAGAAGACGCGACGGGACGATTTTCACCGGCGGACGAAGACGCTATCTTCTCCCGCTCTCATCCGCGTGCGAAGATGATAAAAGCACGTCGAGGGACAGCGATGCGTCGTAGTCTTCCTTTCGGGATCGGGCCAGAAGGAACGTGGATTTTAACGACGACCAGTCCGAAATGGCCTCGAAACCGATCGTCCATCTGCTAATCGCCTACGGCGTCATCGCCGTAACAACGTGTGAGTAAGAATTTACCCCGCGGTGGTTCTCTCGCACGTCCGAGAAAGTGAAACACCGTCGCGTCGTCCGTACGCCGATCGGAAAGAATTATCATCGTTTCTGTCGTGTTATTTCGATTCCAGAACTAGTGATGTGATCTTTTTAACACCACAAGTGTAACATTCTCTCAGATTCTCTTCTGTGAGATCTTCTCTGTGTGTACAATAAAAAAAATCCCTTCTCGATATAAATCTACTTTTATGTGCGACACAAATTTCAACTGCACCCCCAATGCTTCTGTCTTTCCTTCTTTTTGTCAAGTCGTTTGAAGCATATTCGTGTAACGTTATTTCAAGCAATTTAAACAAATTATGACAAAATGGACTCAAAGTAATTATAAATTAAAAAATATATATTTTCTTAAATTTTTATACTGAGTTTTAATTTATATTCAAATTTCTAGTAATTAAATGTTAAAACAATAATTTAATTTTCGGATAAAAATTGATAATTGTACTTATCATGATTTGTTAGACGTATTCTGTTTTTCTAGTTAAATTCCTGGTGTAGATTTGACATTTCAGAAATTGGAAGTTTGCTCATACGAAAGGAGTATTTTCAATAAAGCTATATTACGTAATATTACGCAAGTAATTACGATACGTAATTCAGCTTAACAATGTTGGCTAACCTCTAGGATGCTTTGGAAATTTGTGTACATCCAATTTTATAAATTCAACGCGGCCTGAATAGTATAGTTTACTATCATATCACTGTACGTATGCTCAGTCACGAGCGCATTGGCAATTTGTATGCGATGCGCTTGCACGCTGGCAGAGAAATAAATTTTTAAGCTTAAAACTTGGACACGCACATGAATATTAATCTTCCTGTCGTAGTTAGACTTATGACGATCACACATTAATAAGATTACGATGCGATGCACATTATAATTTAAGGGAAAAACATTTTTGTGTTTTTTCTGTAATGCACGATGAGCGTTCCAGTGCCTTTTTAATCGGAGAAACTCTTTCGAACAGTTTCGACCTTCGGACAGAAGGAGTTGGCGATAGGTGGGATTAATGCTCGTCGGCCTAACGACGGATAATCGAGTTTGTAATCAGCGAAACTTTCTCTCTCCCTCGTTGTTTGCACTCATTACCTTGCGCAACTTCTGCCCCGCGGAAATGTCTCGGGAAACCTCGCCGGGAATAGCCGCTGGCAGAACCATCGCCGTCGTTCCTCGGCCTTTCGCATCGTCCTGAAATCTAGACCGGTTTTTTTGGGCCTCACCCGAATATGTTTTATCTCCTTAATGTTCAGGAAGGACGCAGCATCGAAGAAAATTTCTCGCATGGTTTAGTTTTGTTCGTAGCGCGATTATTTCTCATCTATTCTTGGTAAATATTCGCTGATGTCATTTTATTTCTTGAAAAGTGTCCTCGGGCCAATCGGGTCCAGTTCGATACTGTTTGCAAATTGGTTATAAACACGTTGCGCAAGTGATGTGCAGGTAACGTTAATGTATGCAATATCTTCGTAGAGGTCGAGCGCCGGCGACCGTCGAACTTTCGCCGCGTCGCACGTAATCGCGTGCACTGTGTTAATGCGACTTATTAATACTGTCCGGACGGACTCGTTTGACGAGTTTTATACGTAGTACTAAATTAAATCGATGTTTCGAAACAATATTTTCATTCCGCGTGAATTTAATATATAATATTAATAGCTGGAATTATGGAAGAAAGAAAAGTTCGCGATCGTTCGATGACACTTTAATTGAAGTTATTTTTGTTAAAGTAACTAGCAAGATAAATTACTTTATATAATTGAATTTAATTGAAACTGTGGATATTTAACAGAAGGAATAACTACGCGATATATAAAAAAATGTATTCTGTACTTGAACCGAAATTTTTCTAATTAAAGTTAAAAATGATTTACTGCCATTTCAGCGCTGAGTCAAAACAGCAGATTCGTGAATCAGCTATTTGACAATCAGCCGAATCGCGGTCAGCAACAATTCTCGCCGAAACGTGGCCAATCCGCGTCGTGTCCAGAAAGGAACGGCCGCTTTCCGGTGCAGAATCAGTGCGACGCTTACATCGAATGCATTGACGGGATAGCCGAGCAGAAGCTATGTCCCGAAGGCTTGTTTTTCAATCCTGAAGCGCGCTTTAATTATCCCTGCGGATATCCGATCGACATAGATTGCACGGGCAGGCCAAATTTACGTAAGTCCCTCATTTAAATTAGTAAATTTTTATCAGAAATATTCTATCTAAGATTCTAACGAGAGAGATGTTAAATAATTCAATCGTCTCGCGTTTTGTTTATCTAAAATCATTGGAGATTCAGCGAAAAAATTTCTGATGAATCAAGTTGATCCCACGGAGGTGCGATTGAATAACGAAACGTCATTAAATTTTCTGCAGAGCCGGCAAATCCGACCGACGACTGTCCCCATCAATACGGGTACTTCAAGATCGGCGATCATCAACACTGCGGCCAGTTCATGAACTGCGTGGACGGCAGGGGCTACGTGTTCGATTGTCCGGAGGGTCTGGCCTTCAATCCGCAGAGCTATCGATGCGACTGGCCGGACCAAGTGCCGGACTGCGACGCTGAGACTTTTCTCGGTTTCCGCTGTCCAGAGGTGAGGAACGGTCCCTTCCTGGACACCGAGACTAAGTTTTTCCGCAGCCCCGTCGACTGCCACCACTATTACATCTGCGTGAACGGCCGTCCGAGATTGCTGAATTGCGGCATTGGAAATGCCTTCAATGAGCTCATTAACGTCTGTGACGCCGCGGAAAATGTCACCGGCTGGTGAGTGATATTTAAAAAGTCTTTTGTCCTTTGCACGGGATGTATTTCTCCTTTCGCTTGTATTTATTAGTTATATATTTACAAATATTTTTTATTGTAACTCTACTCTCAATATATATCAAAAGATGCTTAAAAAATATTCAAATAAATAGTTACGAAAAATGCAAAATATTTTTTAATTAAATAATGAGCTAATTTATTATCACATATGCTCTAAGATTCTTTTCTCGATGTTATCTAATTAAAAACGAGAGAATATATATTTAATTTAACTTTTTTCAGCGAACACGAAGCAATAGCGAGAACAACCCCGGCACCATACCGACAGACAAGGCTTTTTTAAATTCTGATACGATTGAAGAATAAAAAAACAAAGATTGACAGCGCAATAGTTCCGACGGAACAGCAATCAAGAATTGCAGCAAACTTCGATATGTGGTACGATATATTTTCGACACGACAAAATTCCATGTGGGATGTAAATAATGATCCGTACAATTGGAAAACACGTTATATTGTTTGAGAATGAAATAAAAATCTAATTGCCATACGTGTGCTGACGCCATAAATAATGTATATACTATTGCTTAAGTTGCATTAAAAGTACATATTTAATATAGAACTGTAGAAAACTTTTAATAAATAAAAGTGTAAAAATAAACGCCTATCTCCCAGTGTGGACTCTCTTTGTAAACGGTTGTTTTTGCAACTAAAATGCAAGATTACACATTGCATAGTTTTATGGCATTGAGTTTATAATTGACAGTTTGCTGAAGTGAACGTTATTCGATAATAAACTAAATGTGTTAACGATTATAAAGGTTTTCTAGTGAATTCTTGTTAACGAAATTTATTTATCCATTGTTATTTGTTTATATTTTATATATAAATATCTAATAGCCCTCTCTCCCTCTCTTACTTTTCCTTTTTTCGACAATGCCGATAAAAACATCATTTTGGTGCGCGTCCGTGCTACATCTGCAAACTGCAAATTTATACATATATTTATATTATATATATGCCTATATTACATTTGCAAATGTAGCACGGACGCGCACCAAAATGATGTTTTATCGATAGTGTCAGAAAATGAACGTGGCTACGTAGCACTAATTTCGAAAATGGTTGTACTGGCAGTAGTGTACAGGGGCTAAGCTTTCGACAGTCCCACGA